GCAGAGTGATTTAGTGATCGGAATGCATCAAATGGCATCGCAGTTGAAGCAGCAACTGGAAGCTTGTCATCCCACATGGATTCAATCAGCGAGAACTGGCCTGCTAGTGTATGAAACCACAATTGGATTCCTTTTCAAAAGTGTGTAAACATGAAGACTAAAATGGAAAACATCGCTGAGTACGACAAAATATTTTTACCGCGGTATTTCTGAACATAGAGCAATATGTACCTCATAATAATGCAGTTACATTAGGGACCAACAGTATAATATTTTAAAGTAGGTGCCTGGAAATGTTTTGATACTTTTGCGTCTCTCACATAGCTGGAACAAGCAATTTGCAATGATTATAGATAAATAATACCATATTGCATGTTTATGCTATTTGAAAAAGAATATATTTATCTTGAGAGAAAAGAAAATATCCCGGCCCGAAAAATATTCGCAGCCTTCCTCCCCGTCCCATACGAAAATTAAATGGTCACTATCTCATAACACATTATTTTTATATGCATGAAAACTGTGTATAAGTTGTCACCTAAACACCTAACTAACTAAAGTGGGAATGTGTAAACTTACTCCATAACTGATATCCTGTAAACAACACTGTGCTTTATATGGCGAGCTTGTTGATACAAATGGAAGCTATAATACTGAAACCTATACACGATTTATATAATGGGAGGACAAACTTTGTGATGCCAGCATTCGGGCAATGAATCAATCAATGAGGGAGAGAAAATATGTCGTGGACTTAAGAAATTACTTTATTTTTTTTTAAGTGCTCTCATTAATATGTATGGAGGATGCTTTGACTTAACAAGAATTACACATACCAGACACGCTAATGTACGCTAGTGGTTACGTTTTAACTCCTCCTTTTTGATAAAATTTAAAATATTTCAAAAACTTTGGATTTTGTTCTTTCGAAACAAATCACTAAGCCGCCAGGTTGGAATCCGTTACACGTGTCAAACATGTGGTTAATAATAGTTCATACATACTATTATATTTGTAATATTCAAAATTAATTTGACAAGTACAATAGCTTTATAAAATTAATTATAAATTTTTGTAATGGGTTTTTTGTCATGAAAAATGAAACCATGCTTTGAATATTATTCAGTCGTAACAAGATTATATGGGAATCTCCGTACATTCTTTACTAACGTAAACTATCGAAGTACCGGTACAGTGAAAAAGTACCGTAGTACATACCATCATAAAAAATACCACGTTAAACCTATATGCCTCGCATCTCCCCAGATTTTCAAGACGGAAATGAACACAACAAACCAGATGTGATACCTAATTTAAGATGTTCGTGCCTTGTAACTATCTGTCTCGTCTTAGCTCATCCTAACTCTTTTTAGTAGACCCAGGAAACATATATATATAAAAGAGAATGTTAATAATAATTTTTGTCTCATCTTGCAAAATAATCGAGATGCAGACATGCCGAAATCGAATTAGATTGCAATCTCTTCGTGACTTTATTCTTGAAAAAACAGAAACAAGTTATTAAAACTATACATATAGCCAGAACCACAAGCGAATGGTGCAATCGATAAATTAAAAATTCTATGAAAAATTCATCGTGCACATTAATCCTCGAGGAAACTGAGATTGCATAAATTATCCTCTAAATTTTCGGAGAACTAGATTGAAAAACATACACAAAATTTACGTTTGTCTTCTGAATATTGCAACATTTTGAATAACGTGACGCACCACAATTATCAATGTGCAACGCGTATAGGATCACCGATGAGAATATCGCATAATATTTTAGTGTGAGCTTATAGATTTTGGAAGTAACCGTATAATATTAGCAAGAAAATCCCAAAATCTCTTTTCCTTTTCCTACACCACGAACGGCATGCGAATTTTTGTCATACTATCAGTACTGGATTTTGGCACAAGCTAAACAAGATACAGATTAGGGCCCCAAAATCTGAACTCGGTCTGAAGGGACCCCTCAAATTTATTTTATACCAAATATGGCCTCTATAGCTTCCTATATCTTAGGACATCGCTTTGTCTGAATCTGGCACTGCAAACTATCAATATATCATAAACTTTTTGAATTTTTGTCATACTATCAGTACTGGATTTTGGCACAAGCTAAACAAGATACAGATTAGGGCCCCAAAATCTGAACTCGGTCTGAAGGGACCCCTCAAATTTATTTTATACCAAATATGGCCTCTATAGCTTCCTATATCTTAGGACATCGCTTTGTCTGAATCTGGCACTGCAAACTATCAATAAATCATAAACTTACTCAGAAGAACTAGCTTGCACATTTTGTTCCTCAGGGAAACTGAGTTTGTTCCTAAATCATATTTTATATTAGCAGAGCACTAGACTGAATAACGCTCTCTAAAATGCACGTCCTTCTTCCACCATTGGACTTAGATAACATTATTATCCTAATACAACAATAAAAGAAAAACCAAATAATTATGTGTACCTAATAAAATGAGTCCTAACTGACAGGAAGTTTATTTGACGTGGTTTTGCATGCTGAGTGTTTCATGGTGTCTTTGCTATATGGTTCCACTCCACAGCTTCGAATTGCTGGTGTGGTAAATATCGAAACAATATCTGAATATCAACAATTGGTCATCAAGACTACGTGTTATTTAGATTATAATCCAGAAATACCTACGGTACCTTGGAGTAAATAAGCGTTATCTAAGAATTAATAATAGACCAAATTCTACTAATGCCATGCCAGTTTGAATGCGAAACTATGCCTCAGGTTATAAAAAAAAAAAACATCTGAAGGTACAACTTTTAAGACTTTAATTATATATTTATCTTAATAGACCATTTTCAATGTTTGTAAACAGAAGAAAAAAACTTTGAGTACTTAAAAAATCTACATATGTATAGTTGTGGAAAATTTAATAAATTTCGACTATTTTCGACGCAGTTTTCGATTTCAAACATTGGATTTCATCTTCTTCTGAAACAAATCCAACTTAAAATAAACCCACAAGCTAGGCATTTATAGATTTTTGGATCGTAAAAACTCTAAATATCCTTATATTTAGCAATTTTCTATCAGATATTGAACATCATGCAGACGACATATGTGTGAAGAAGTGACATTTGCTGAAACTGTGCAGCCTTGTCCTCTTCTGTCGATTCCATATATCTTCCCTAAGTTACCATAGAAATGCTCATGAATTAAATTATAATGGGTTTAATAGAAGTATTCCTAGAATATAATTAAATACATAGCACGAGTTAACAACGTTATATGATACAAACAAATTGCCACATTTCATTGACTTTTCCTAAATATCACATCTAATGAACAAAAGGACTGGGATTGTATTTATCAAATTAAGGCAAATACTTTCGGTTTCTCTAAACTTCATTTAGGATTTATGATAGTTGTTCACTGTTTGTTCTAAGGTGCAAATCTTGATCAAATACAAACGGTGAAATTAAGCCGGACTCAGTCTGTTTTTCCCTCATCCAAGTTAGCATAACTAGTCGTACTCTACCATTAAGTATTGTAAACTTAACCAACTTCGGTCTTAACTTTCTATAGTCCGAAAATACATCCCCGTTGATTTGTACCCCGCTACCGATTTCAAGAACTAAAATGTTTAATTTGATAAGAAGTGCACAGAACTAAGTCAATTGAATCATTAATTTATAATTTCTAAACTGACTGTCACCAGAATGGCACTAGTACTTGCATCATCTTGCACTTTTCATGCTTAACGGACTTACCATACTAACACAGCGCCATATTCCGTATACTACGGAGTAGTTTATTTCCATCCGACAACATAATGACGTAACTGATTCTATTTGGTAACTGCCGGATAATTCCGTAAATTGCAATAACGTTGACTTTGGAATTATATTCCTTAGCACACGTGAACATATTAATGAAACCGCTTGTTAAATCCATGTGAAAGGAAAACTTTTTTGTCATTCTTTTCCTTTGCTTGATTCAACACTGTAAATATCGGAAGCAGACGACATATATATGTACATATCTAGTCGCATATGCAACCCTTTGCTGAAAATGGACTGGTCCAGAAACTGGAAATGGTTCTCATGCATGTCAGTCTATTACATTGAAAATTTCCGTTAAGCATGAAACGCGCAGGCAGTGAGGGTGTTATGGCAATTCTTCTCACATTCAGATTAGAAAATATAAATCAAAGAATGAATTGACCCAAAATCCTTGCACTTTTTATCAAATTAAAGTTTTCCATTATTGAAATCGGTAGGGGTGGGGTACAACAAGGATGTATTTTAAAACTATAGCCAGTATCATGATCCCGATAACTAACTGGCAATATCTCTATCCCCTGGTTGTTTGTTAGTGATGATATTGACACAACACAAACTTCATTCTCAAAAAGGTTAAACTGGAAAATTACCCCTGAACAGCAGTAATTTGTTGATAGTTTTGCATAGCCGTATAATATGTAGAAATTATGAATTTATTTGTACATTTTTCAAAAATGGCGTTTGATTGAATATGCAAGCTCACAAGCACTGGAATCAGAACTAGTTTGTTGTAGAACATATTTGAAAGAAAAATGCGCCTTTTGTTGATAATTTCCTGGAGATTTCCAATTGTTTGGTGTTAAGCGAATAACAAACAGTTCGTTTAAATTAACAAGAAGACTTATGAAAAGTTTCGCATCTAATGGCATCCTTCCGCATCCGCATATTGAAGTAGGAGAGCAATGGAGAAAACCTTTCTCATTTGACACACACAAAATATATAAGTATGTATATAACGTAGCTTTAACAATTTTTCAGTCATTTAGGTTGCTAAGATATTTACACTGTGGCAGTTTATAGTGATGTTTAGCACTGGGCCATCATGCCGCAAACATGTAGCATTGTGTCCCACCCAGTCACATTATCCTGACACCGGGTCTACCAATCCTAACATTAACTTCTTAATGTTGAGCATCATGCGAGGCAGCTGTTAGTACCATTTTTGTAAATCTTTGGTA